AATGTTTCAAGAGTTCTAGCGAAAGCAGCTTGTTGACCGATCTGGTAGTGTACGGACGTTGAACGCGCCTAATTAAAAAGGAAATTTAGGCTTCGAAAAACGTATGACTTCTGACTGTTGGGCCTTACTTGTAAAACGCTGGGTGACATCCGATGGGTGGTGCAAACAGAAGGCATTCGGGAAAATTCGGGATTGAGAGGAAGAACTAGAAGTGTGAGAAAGAGGCTTTTCCAAATAGGTGCCTAAGAATTTAGGGCACCACATACTTTGCGGAAGCCTACAGATAAGATGGAATTTTTCTTTGGAAACCCTGACCGGAGCCTTGGACTAAAAACTCTGACCTACAAGACAGTGAGGCACAGATTCAACACGGGAGCGTGACCGAAGCACACGTGTGTGAACTTCTAGAGACCCTTAACGAAGTGGTTCTGGTATCCGTTCAGTGTATTGTTCGCTGGTGCGTTGATTGTCCGTTCGCTGTTCGTGACTGGCTCGTAGTTTCATGCACCTAATGACACAAAAGGAACGCGGACAGTACAGGGCGGGCGTTAGCCGCCCAATGAATTGTGAAGACTTTTCGCACCGTCAAGAAGCTCAACGTACCCTGCTCCCACGTCCACCTAGCGGGGCTTTGTGACCGACAAACTGTGACTAATAGGGTTTTAGAGATATATGCTGCCTTCGACTCTATTAATAGAACTGTACTGTGGATCTGTTTGTTGAGGAATATCAATGTGTCGATTCTCTAACTGTTGCTCGATCATACCTCAGATCTGGTTTCGATTTGAGGCCATTTGCCTGATTCTTTGCAATCTCCTGTGGAGTGTAAGGTTTCTCTTTTTTCTCTTTACCATAGAGAATGTTCTAAAAGACGCTTTGTTCAGCCTAGAAAACGTTGAAGTTTAACTCCCTCAAGGGAACAGTTTTGACTTAGAATAGACCAATGATGTCGACGCTTGGTTCAGTCCACCATACTTTATACCGCTTGGCGATCGAATTATTCAAATATGGTACGTGCTTTACACCATCAAGATAAAGATAAAGATAAAAGACCGGCAGGAGCATTTGCCTGCAGTCACCCTTTGTAGTAATAGCCCAGAGATAGCCGAGAGCTTTAAATACTTTGGGAGCTGGATTGCAACTAAAGATTATGTTGGAGAGGATATAACATGACGAACAACAAAAGCCATAATGGTTTTCCTCAACCTGCAACATCTATGACATCCTACGTTAACTGAGGGGTAGAGTGTACATGGCCGAAATATGTTGTTTTGCTTTAAGGTTGCCAGACACGGCCTATCCGCCTTGAAGGTGGCCAATCAACTTTCTTACTCGACCACCGATGTCTTCGAAGCACTGAATGTATTTGGTGTAAGCCATAGGTGAGCAAAGGCCGTTATGTGCTGATGGTCGTCCTCTGAAAAAGGAAACTGCTCTACACTACCTCCAATGGCTAAGAAGCATTTAGTCTGTCTGCCCAGCGCTTACCTCTCGGAACACAGCGATCTCTTGAGCAAACTCTAGGCCAGAAATCCAAACGTTCCAATTCGGCTCCACACGGCGTTATAACGCCGTGACTATAGTCAGGGAGCGCTTTCTTCGTGTAAGCGATCGTTGTCACTTAGGCGAACAAATGAAATTGCGCATTAGTAGCTTCAAGTTAAGAGTTAGTGCACCAATACATAACTTAAAGCTCAAAAACGTCGGTGGTCATAAATACATGAAAACAAGTGAAATCCGTGAAAGACCCATGGGCCTGCAGGTAGCCCATACGGCAAGTAAGTTTGATTTTGTCCATATATAGTTGAGTAAGTCAATCGTTTGATGAAAAACATCAACGATTTTAACGTAAACCGGACTAAAATCCTAGCGTGCACTCCCGTGCTACTGAAGCACATCCTACGCAACTGGCAGTTTGTGGTGTAGCGTGCGCAAAAAGGTGCTCATGGAAACGAACTTAGTCGTGTTTGATCCACACAGTAATGCCAACAATCTAAACCCCCACTTGATTTACTGTGAATCCACAGGTCGTTCATAAAATTGTATCAGTCACGCGATAGGTCGCGCATATGCGGCAATGCGGTGACCGCGCATGTTCGAACGGCACTGACAAAATTCAAATTTTAAGACGCAAGCCTGCAGGCTTTCTCCCATGGTGTGCTGACGATGGTGTGATGTGTCCTGCCATTACTCGCCATTTGAGTAGCCTGCCAGTTGGTTTTGTTACCGGTTTATCAGGACCGGTTTTATCTTATTGTTGCACTACAGTACTGGCAGTATAATGATTTTTAGATATTCTGAGAGGCAAAATATTGTAATCTAACACTAGTTTCACCTTTTCCGCATGAAGATCATTTTGTTTTATTCTGAACTATTACACGGTCTTAGACGATCTCCGATTTGATACAATTTCTAATGAGTTTGTAGTGAGACCGATTATACCGATACGAACAAATCCGATCGATATCTGACATTTGCCCGGCATTATTTCCCCAGCAAACCTTGGGTAAAAACACAAATACTGGCACTCCGGTACCAACTCGATATATATTGAGTTGTATTACAACTTCTTTACATTGTTGCATTAAACTTTTGCAGTGACGCTGATATTTTCTTCACAATCAAATTGATCTCTCACTGATATTATGTTCTGATTTGATT